ATCACATCGATAAAAGCTATAATCAAATTGCATAAATCTTAAGCTTGTTATACACAATCATTTTATGTATTTATTTTCTATATTCATTAAATTTGGTAGAAATCCTTGATAAAGGGTTGTTTTTGTTGTATTAAATTTGGATTCGCATAGCAAAATAATTTGTTCTACAAAAATTAAAAAATCAAGCCATTATCCCACTACATAGGGTCGGCTACAAGAAACCATTTTCTCCATTGTGTCATGTTAAAAGTCAAATTCTCATTTAAATTTAATAAAAAGATCATTTCTAATATTTTCTAACAAAAAGTGTTTTTAGGTCTACCTCTATATTTCTTAACGTAGGCCAAATCCAAAGAATCTACTCTCCTAACTGGGTCATCGAAAGACCGACGTTTTGTGTCCAAATCATCCAAGGTAACTCTCATTAATCTTATCTACCACCAAAGTTACTCCAACCTTTTCACGTAATACTTGTTTCGCATTTTATATCTAAGAGGAAAGCCACTCATCCACCTGAGCATCCTCATCTCGCAATACTTAACTTAATTTTATGCTTCACTTTTAATGGCCAACACTCTGCACCATAAAGCATTGCAGGTCTCACCACCATCTTATAGAATTTTCCCTTAAACTTGTCGGGCACTTTTCTAACACGCAACAAGCCCAATGCATTCCTCCACTTCAACCATCCAACTTCAATTCTACTAATAATATCCCCATTTATTTCACCATCTCTTTGGACAATAGATCCAAGATATCTAAAATATGTACTCTTGTTAATGACTTAATCACCCAAAGTCACAATGCCCGCACTAGATCTATAACAGCTAAAATTACACTCCATGCATTCAGCTTTAGATTACTCAAACGAAAACCATTAGACTCTAAGGCGCTTTACTTGCATGTACTATTTTTCATTATTTTGTTCTGTTTAATTTTGTCATCCTTTACCTCTCGTTCAAGCTTGTTGAGCCATTATAGCCTCTTTGTACATGAAAGGTAGGATGTCAATGAATAGTTTGTTGAATGCTAGGATGCTCTTCCTTTTTCTTTTCTTTATTTCCTTCTACTTTTTCTATTTCGTTCTTATTTTCAACTATTAGCATAAGTTGGGTTACATCAGAAATGGCTAACAAACCTAGCAAAAAGAAATTGCACCTTTTTTTCCTGAAAAAGCACCATAATTACATCTACACTGCTTCTACTCAATTAAACATTTTTGAAATTACACAAATGGATGTGAAAATAGGGAAGAATGTTATTAAATGCCTCCATACAACAACAACAACATCAAGCCTTTGTCCCACTACGTGGGGTCGGCTACAAGAATCCTTTTTTACTATTGTGTCATATTAAAAGTCAAATTCTAATTTAAATCTAATAAAGAAATATAATTTCTAATATTTTCTAACCAAGTCTTTTTATGTCTACCTCTACTTTTCTTAACATAAGTCAAATCTAATACCTCAACTTTCCTAACAGGGTCATTGGAAGGCCTCCATTTAATGTGGTCAAACCATTGAAGACGACTCTCTCTAACCTTATCTTCCACTGGAGCTACTCCAACCTTTTCACGTATATGCTCATTTTGTATCCTATCTCTAAGGGTAAAGCCACTCATCCACCTAAGCATCCTCATCTCTGCAACACTTAACTTAGTATTATGCTTCTCTTTTAATGAACAACATTCAGCACCATAAACATAGCAGGTCTCACCACCATCTTCTAGAATTTTCCCTTAAGTTTGAGGGGGACTTTTCTATCGCACAACAAGCCCGAAGCATTCCTCCACTTCAACCATCCAACTTGAATTCTGCTGATACTATCCCCATCTATTTCACCATCACTCTTAACAATAGATCCAAGATATCTCAAAAGTCTACTCTTATTAATGACTTGATCGTCCAAAGTCATGATCCCCCCTCACTAGGTCTATTGCTACTAAAATTACACTCCATATAATCAGTTCTAGATCTACTCAAGCGAAAACCTTTAGACTTTAAGGTTGACCTCCAAAATTCAAGTTTACCTTCAACTCCCTCTCTAGTCTTATCGACAAGAAGAATATAATCAGCAAAAAACATACACCAAGGTACATCCTCTTGCAAATGTCTAATGAAAGCATCCATGACTAAAGCAAAAAGATATGGACTTAAAGTTGATCCTTGATGTAATCCAACCGAAATAGGAAAATATTTAGTCAAACCGCCTTGTGTTTGAACACAAGCAATAGCACCTGCAAAAATATCTTTAATGATTTGAATATAAGCGCTATTAACTCCTTTCTTTTCAAGAACTCTCCATAGCACTTCTCTTAGAACATTATCATATGCTTTCTCTTAATCAATAAATATCATATGTAGATCCTCCATATTCTCTCAATATTTCTCCATCAAACCTCTCAATAAATGTATGTCTTCCATAGTAGACCTCCCGGCATGAATCCAAATTGATTTTGAGAAACATTAGTATCTTGCCGCAACCTACGCTCCATAACTTGCTCCCACAGTTTTAAAGTATGACACATTAACTTAATTCCTCTATAATTCGCACACTCCCGTGCAACACCTTATTCTTAAAAATATGAATTAACACACTCAATCTCCACTTATCTGGCATCTTTTTAGTTTTCAAAGCAGTATTAAAAGTTTAGTAAGCCAAGAAATTCCTTCCTAAGCATTTCCAAATCTCTATGGGAATATCATCAGGTCCAACAGCTTTTCCACACTTCATTTTCTTTAGAGCCTCTCTGACTTCGGTTTTACTAATACGCCGATAAAAATAAAAATCTTTATTTTCATATAGGATGCTAAAGTCACTAAAGTCAATCGTATTTTCACAAATCTTCATTAAAAAGTTTAGCAAAATATCTCATCCACATTTGTTGAATATCATCTTTTAAGAAAAGTATTTTTTTATCTTCATCCTTAATACACTTCACTTGAACTAAATCCTTACTACTCCTATCTCTTTGTTTGGCTAACTTATACATATATCTTTCTCCTTCCTTACTATATAATATATTATATAAATCATTAAAAGATAAGCTCTTTGCATCGCAAATAGCTTTCTTAAATTCCTTACGAGACTCTTTATAGCTTTCCCAATTATTCAATTTTTACATTTAAACCAATTTTTATAGCAAATCTTCTTTTTTTTCTTTTATTGCACATTTGAATTCCACGACCAACTATTTTTACTATTATGAGTTTTTCCCTTCGAAACTCCAAGCACATCTTTTGCAATAATCTTAATATTAAATGCCTCCATGATGCATGAAAATCACTAATTAAGCTTTTCATATTTTCTTATAAAGGATGCTCAACACTGTAGTGTTTAAACCCAAAAATTGTGTTAAGACAGGTGAGATTTATAACAGCTATAAGAAAGCATAAAAGAAATCAAGCGATTTTATTATAGCGTTCAAGGTCACATGATATTGTATCTACTAATGAAATTCAACTAACTATAATGTTTAGGCGCAATGTCATGATAATTAGTTAACTTTATTAAAGTTCTCAAGGAAGCAACGCTTAAGAGCTGATCAATTTCTTAAAAGGAGGCAAATTGGACCCCAATGTATTATGCTTATAATTTTATCATTCTTTTCACTAACTCAATTAAACTTCATTCGAGTGTAAAATATAGACAGGAGAGTAAGAGAAGAGAGTGCATTAATCATGTAGATTTAGTCAGGTAACCCATAGACCAACTACTTATAGGGTATTAAACAGGCATGGGAATAGAAAATTGGTAAGTGAGAACTGAGAACATGGTCAGCCATTTTTTTTGGAGAATAATATGGAGAACTAGAGATGTAAATTGTAGCAAAGCAAACCCACAGTTGAATCAACCCAATCCCAAACCACTGAAGCCCCAATCCCATCGCACTCCCAGATATAAAGTAGATAACTTTACCCTATTTAATTACTGCATAATTTTTTTAATGATTCCTTGTGTTATTCCCAGGCACAATACCTTCATTCAATACAATAAATCTAGTTCAAACAGATCTTGTTTTATTATGAAACTAACATTGGTCATATTGATAATAGAATATTTGTTAGACATTTGTTTATTATAAATATAAAATGTATATACTTTGTTACATGAAAATAAAGATTTTGGCTAGTCAAGGCGATATGTCCAAAAAGTGATAACTGCTTTATAAATCATTGAATTTTCATGGGTTACTACAATATTCCCAATTTAGAGTATCCTAATAAAACGCACTATAAATGTACATACAAAAATAAAAGAATTATGGTAGATGATTTATGAATCATTTTTGGATATATATGATTAGTCTTATATAATTGCACATAGGTACGTTAACATAGAAATGCATTGATTATTATTTTTCATACAAATTATCATGAACAATGCCACATTGAAAATTAAATCAATTGACACTTCTAGTCATTCAAGATATGCATGCAGATTGTCACTACAAGAGCAAACCTTTCAACATTAATTATTCCATTTGGTACTTCAGTTTATATTATAGTTTTTACTTTGACTTCTATTAGGTTTTGAGTGACTGCTACTTATACAGTTGTTTCTTTCATTTTCCTTCCATTATTTCTTTTTTTTTTAGCATTGTCAAATACTAAAAAGGCTTGATGTTGTTGTTGTTGTTGTATTGTCAAATACTGTGAAGGTTGTTAATGCATCTAAACGTTATTTATTTTCATATATTTATTTTTATATATTTCTGCCTACAATTATATATATGAATCATTCCCTCTTGAATACAAAACAACTTTTATTGATCTTTACTTCTAACGTTTATCTTATGAGTTGGAATTTATTTCTTCGGCATGTCCAATGTTGATAGGATGCATCAATTTCTGAACTGAGGTGTGACACAAATACTAGGATCTGGCAAGAGAGGGTACAATAAAAAGGAAAAGGAAACGAGGAAAATGTTGAACCACAAGGAAAGCGATAATACTTTATTAAATGCACCTTCCAGCAGTAGCCGCAATTGCAATACACACCTGCTGCAAATAATCTGCTACTTCAAGTGACAGTTCTGAACCACCTTTAAATGAATCCTTCCTATTTAAATACAATCCCTCAGCACAATTTGATACAAAACCAAGCATGGCATCCACATATTTTACTAAATCAACCTGCCAAAATCATTTGTAAGAATAAAATTTTAGAGAATCTCCCACAATGGAAAAGATAAGATGCAAAGTGATGATATATGAATTCTGTAAATTATAAAAGAAACAGTACCACAAAATAACATGATTGTAATTAATTCAAGCTAGTCAAAATCAAGAGAATTTCAGTGACCAGTATCATGTCATACCAAGCTCCCGTTGACATTTTTAACTGCAGAGCTGAACAACACAACAGGTCTTCTAATTACAGGAGCGGGTGCTAGTAGCCTGAACCCGTAAGAGCACAAATGCCACAAACATATGAAAGAACAGTTGCATAAAAAAATCATGATGCAGCCAAATGCTAAACTACAATTGCAAAAAAGTTACATTACCAAAGTAACAAAACAAAAATGCAATTCATATATTTTCCTCATAATGGAAATCAGTTTCCATTGTAACTAACAATGAATATTTTCTAAATGTAACTCATTGTCATTACATCAAATTTATTGAAGAAAATTTCAATACATCCTTTAACCAACCAAAAACAAATGAATTGTAAACAAGCATGGCGGCACCATATTAAAAAAAAAATATTCAAAATATTGATCTTCTAGAAGACAGATTCATAAGTTGCTTAGTTTCGCACCACACACAGGTGCTACTGCTATCAAATTCTTGAGGAGCTCTAGAGACTCAAAAGAATAGTGACTAGTATGAAAAGTCAGAATCAGAGTCAATGGCAGGAGCATCCTGCAGATACTGCTTCATGCACAAAAATAAATGAAGTGGTTTCAAGGTCATTGCATGTGTGCATGTGTGTCGTGTGCAATGGAATGAAAGCAAGTTGTTTTCTGCATCATGAAAACTGAAATTATATTAAATATTAATGACATTACAAGTACAATTGTTCCACTGCGCAAACTCAAATAAACATGGATTCTTTGTTTAAAAAAATCACCATTTAACATTAATATTAAAGTCAATCCCAATTTACTTAATCTCAAAGATTTATTTGTTAAAAACATTATATGGGAAAGATTTAAAAAAAATATCTACTGCAACTAGTGGACTTAATCACATGAGACTATCACTTCCCATCTAATCCAAACAGATTTCGACTCATCAATCTGCATCATGATTAACCCAACTAAATAAAAAATCTTCATTTCTAAAAAACAGCCAGTATAGGCAGCTTACATGGTAATGGTCAGATTAGAGAATTTAGCATACATTGATGCAACCAAAAGGAAAATGCTCCTTTAAATTGCAGACAGAACAGGAGCAGTATTTCACCAAAATTGCCTAGAATGATTATTGCTTCTCTTTTAGTCGACTATTTCATTCTATTATACCTACTGCGTCCTTGCCATATTGAGATAGTAGGTTGGCGAGTGCTTTTAGGAAATAACAACAAAACTATGTCACCCCAAGTTGAAAAGTCTATAGTCAATTATATTTTTCTGTTTATAAATGTGTTGATATTCAACTTTTATGTACACGACAGCATTAGTAAAATGAGAAATCCTCTTTGTAAATCAATGAAGTACAACTAAACTCAGTGTGAAATAAATGAATGTACATCATAGACTCCAGAAAATGAATTAACTGCAGTTAAATATGATTTATTATGTTTCTGTTCCTCGTGATGGTGCTTCACGTTGACTTGAATAAGAGACAAATTTGAAGGTTAAAAGCAAACTCTTAGATATTACTCCTCAAGCAGTATAAAGTTCCATGATGATTACTTCGTTTCCAGTAACAAACAATATCAAACATTACTGAATAAATTGGACATACTTCCTAGACAAAATAATCTAGATAAATTGTAGATCTCATAGAAAAAATAATAGTTTCAGCATATCAACAAGACCTAAAAAAATGGAAGTGAGATAAAAGCATCTCAAGAACAACAGATAAGGATCAAAAAGTGCTCTTTGCTTGAGATCTTCAAAACATACCCTGTTCCCACAAAAGCTACCTTCCAAGCTCATTATTAGCACATCAACAACCAGCGAGGGCTTTCTGTCCCATTTCACATCCATTGCAGAACAAATTCGATGAGCCATCTATATTTGAACCCCAAGGTCAGCCCATATCTAAACATTAATTTGGCATTCTAGTGATATTAAAAAATGCAGTTTGCAACTAAAAAAAAAGTAAATTTGACGCACAATTGGGAAGCGATCCACCGATGGTGACTCAATACACTCCTTCAGCGTCTTTAGACAGAAGGAATATACAATATCATCGTCAAATGACTTGCTCTCCCCGACCAGGAAGAGAGCGCACCTATAGAGACCCTCCACAAGGATGTTGTGGCGTGATGCCATAGCCTTTGGCTCCATGATACTGAATCAACGAAAAAATAACATATTAAAAGAGAAGCAATAATCATAGAGAGGAACGCAAATCAATCGACAAGCTTGGTAAAAGAAAATCATGTCGACCTACCAAACCCATGGTTGGAGTTGCTCTGCTAGCGCCAATATCCTCTTGAAGGCACCCACATCCCTTGACTGGCTCTTAAAAGGGCAGTATGTGAGAACTATTACCACTTCAGAGACTAGACAGGCAAGCTGAGGATCTGCCCCTGCTGAACCAACAACACTTGGATCCGGCAGGAAGAACATGGTTGACTTCAGAAGGGACGGAGGAGTACCCAGCAACTTACGAAGGTTCTCCAGGAGAGAAAAACCCTCTTCTTCAGCATCACTGTACTTGTTCCAAATTTCCAAGCGACGGACTAGCTGACCCCATTGAAGATGAACCGAGTATGGCTGACCGGTGAGGCAGGGAGCGATACAGAGAAGGCAATGGATGGTGAGCCGGTAGATACCAAGTAGCTCGATAGCTTTTTCGTTCTGCATTACATCATCGTCCACCGCTCCATTGCAGGGACTTCTCTTGAGAAGGTCTGAAAGTAGCTTTAGGGCATTGCAGAGAAATTGATGGAACTGCCGGGCTATAGGACGGATCTTCTCTTTAGTAGGCAATTCCTTCGGTTTCCTTTTCCTCCGGGTCTTTTTACTTACGGCGCTAGGATTATAATCGTCGAGGAAAATAAAGTCCTCAAACGGTCTAAAAAAGGAGGCGAAACGAAGGTAAAGACCTCCGACATCTCGCGATGCTACGAGGCTCTCGAGCAAACTGGCAGCGTCAGCCTGGCCGGTGTTCATCTCTTATCTCCTGAGAGAAGCGAGGGGCAAAAGAGGAAGAAGCAGCACCAATGGATTATTTTGCGGAACAACCCTACATCGAATGTGGGGAATACTGGAATAGAAACCCTAAGGGGCTGTTTGGTATCGGATTTACAGAGGGATTTAAGTGGGATTTACGCTAAATCCAGCCAAACGGTTTTTGTGCGCGCGTTAAATCCCGGATTTAAGGATTTACGGGCATAAATCCGGGATATACTAAATCCCTCGGTTCGGCGGATTTACGGGATTTGGCGGAAGAAACGAGCGAAAGGGAGAAAGTTACCTTCACAGCCAGCGAGCTCCCGTTGTTGCTTCCGATCAAAATTTGGTAGCTTCCGATCTGACGGGAAGGGAAAGTCGACGAAGGAGCCTTGTCGAACAGCCACGAAGGAGCCGAAGAAGCGACGCGTGCAATCTCTACACCTCCTGCGAAGCAACGAAGCCGAGCAAGCACTGGCGAAAAGAGGCAAACCCTAGACGCCGCTTCTTATCACTGATTAACTTAATTAACTTAAAGAGCAAAACCACCAAAAAGCAGCAGGCAGAGCTCGCGAACGGTAGAAGGAGCGAGGGAGAGACGGAGAGAGGAAGAGATATCTTAACTCTCTAATTACATTAGTTCGCACGCTTATTGAATTTCAAGCAAGTAAGCAAAATGGCGGGAAAGTTAGGTCTCTATTGACAGCATTAGATTTTCTATTTTTAATTTTTAATATATTTTCAGTCATAATTTTAAAATTATTTCCTCAAAAATATTTTTTTAATATAAATTTTGAAAAAAAAATAAATGTATATATTTTAAACATATTAATTTGTATTTGTTATTTTTCTTATCATGAAAGAGTCGAAAAGATATTACAAACAAAATCTAAAAATCATACATAACATTTGCTTGTATGTGGATGAGAGATATTTATTAGAAATGAATAGTTATAAAATTTAAAATATAAGAATTATTTTATATGATGTAAATTAAATACATTAAAATAAATTTTTTGTTGGGTTCCAAATTAGGTGCAAACATGCCCGATTTCCATTCATATAATAAAAAATTGCAATTAGAAGATTAAAAAAATATTAAAAAATTATAAATCATGAATACAAATACCTAAGCTATAAAGTTATAAATAAATATACAACCTACTTGGGACCAGCCCAAGCAACAAGAAAAAACAAAATTGTCTCCAATAGAGAATAATTTTACAATGATATGCAGACTAAAATCCAGTCTCCAATAAAGCCTTTGAGAATGAATCCATAAGACAACAACATTCATGTATCCAAGCTCCAATATAGTCATCAAGGAATGAACAGCAAATACATTCATCCAGCCATTTTAGAACCAAAATTAGCATTGACTATAACTTGTATCAAATCAGAAAAGACATCAGCAAATAGGTATTCAAGTTCACCATCCAGCTAATTCCTCCAACCAGCATGTTGAAGAACTGAGCAAGCCTCCAAAGAACCACAGAAGGAGTTCAAAAAACTCTAGCAAATATCCAATTTCAATATCTGAATTGCAGGCAGATTAAGAAGAACAACTAAAACACTAAAGTAGTAACTAAACCAAAAAAAATTAAAAAAACACTGAAATAAAAAAAACTAAAAGAAACCCCCTCAATCAAGTCAGGAAGGTTAAAATTCCATCTGAAGCCTTAGAGTAAAGAATAGAAAAACCCTAAATTTCAAGAACCAACCAACCAAAGCCAAAGCTAGTTTCCAATCCAACAACTTTAAGGGGAAAAAATCTCATTAAGAGCATCCTAAGAAAAACCGATTGTCAAATCAGCCATCCAAGGATCCAATATTTAAATAATAATCAACTCATCATAATCCAAAAAAAAACTCAATAAAAGAACTCTGCAAATGAAAGAAAAAAAACCACCACAACAACATGAACCACTTGAAAAACATAACAACGAATTAAAACAACACAGAAGACCAAGAGATAGCACCAACTAAACCTAAAAGTTAAACAATATTCCATAGTCATTCATCTTATTTTTGAACACCTACTTGGTTCTTGCAATACTTTGTTCTTTATGTCTACTAATTATATCTCCAACATCATTCCTAACGAAGATGTTTAACTTTTCTTGCATAGTTATATTTGGCTTCTATAAACTCAATCTCGGCTTGAGTAGAAAATATTGTATTGCATCTCATCTATTATGTTAATAAGATGTTGTCTGAAATAGTGGGAATCTACAATTGACTGGTAAAATAGCATTGACATTAGTCTATTTAGCCAAAAAATTATACACATACTTTCAAGCTCATATAATCGGCATATATACAAAGCTCTCATTAAAAAATATCCTTTAAATGCCTAAAGCATATGATAAATTAATCAACTATTCAGTGGAACTAGGAGAATTTGATATACATTACTTGTATAGGTTTGACATCAAATCTTAAGTACTTGTAGACTTTATGGTTAAGTGTATCATCCCCACTACTAATGAATCACCAACTACTTTTATTTCACCCTTGTACTAAATATTATATATCGATGGATATTTTAGAATGTTTGGTGTTGAAGCTAGAATTTTATTAATCTTCCTACAATAAGTTACCTTTTAGTGTAGGCTCTGACTGAAGTTCCCTATAATGAATAACGATGTTGAATATAAAACCCTCATTATTGGATTAAGGCTGGTTGTAAACTATGACGTACAAAACTTGGTGGTTCACATTGATTCACAATTTGTTGTCTCCCGGGTGCAAGCAGAGTTTGATACCCATAACACATATTTGGCCAAATATTATAACATGTAAAGTCACTCTTGGCACTCATAAAAAGCATTAAATCATCAATATCCTCCACGAGCAGAATGCACTTGAAGATGCCCTCTCTAAGTTTGCTACATTAATAATCGAGGATCTTTTCAAGAGAAACTATGTTGAGGAGATCCAATTTCCAAGTATCCAAGGTCTATTAGAATTTATTGATAAGCCAAGAGAAGCTTCCTGGATTGTTCCCATCTTATCCTTCTTACAAGATGGTGCAATGCCTGAAGATCTAATAGTTGCAATATGACTTCAAAGGCAAGCAACAAACTTTACTATTATTGATGGAGAGTTCTACAAATGAGTCTTCACTGGATCGTACCTTAAGATTAAAAGCCAATTACACACTTCATGAAGTTAATTTAAAAATATGGTGAGAACACCTAGGGGAAGATCGCCAGCTTACAAAATCATGAGACAATGGGTTATATTAGCCAATAATGAAACAAGACGTAGTCAAACTCACATAAAAGTGCAAAAACTGTTAATTGTATTCAAATCTCACCAATTCACATGTTGTAGATTTTTCATCACTCTAAAGCCCATGGCTTTTAGCCCAATAGAGAATTGATATAATGGGACATTTCCTTATAAGTACAAGATAATGTAAATTCATCATCCATGATGTAGATTAATTCACCAAATGGGTCGAGATAAACCCCTAACAAAAATCACATAAGCTAATGTTAAATAAATTTTATGAAAGAATATAATATATCATTTCGGCATTCCTATAAATATCATCATCAACAATGGAACTCAATTAGCTAAAAAAAATCTTTATAACTTTCTGTAAGTATTTCTATATTCAACTAGTTCACATGGCTATAGCCTATCCTCAAATGAATAGATAAAAAAATATTACAAATCGAATAATACTAAAAGGATTAAAAACACATTTGGGGAAGGCTATGGGCAATGGGCTGAAGAACTCCCAAATATCATTTGGGCTTATTGTACCACTACCAAAATTCTAATAGGAGAACCTCGTATAACATTTGTTTTGGTGCAAAAGTAGTTATATTGGTCCATATTGGAGTCCCAAGTTATAGAGTTCAAACTTTTGACTTCAATAATAATGAAAGAGAAGCTCAGAAATAATACAGATCTCCTTCTAGAAGCAAGAGATGTGGCACAACTCAAAGTTGTTGCATATCTCCAAATAATAGCCCGTCATTATAATCAATGGTGAAACCTCCATGTATCTTGATTAGAGACTTAGTTCTATATAGCATTGAGGTTGTGAGAAAGGGCCCTCAACGCAATAAACTCTCCCCACTTTGTGTTGGCCCTTATTTGGTGGCAGCTAATGCAAAGCCTGAAACCTTCAAGTTAAAGGATGTTGATGGAATAATGTTCTCAAACTTGGAACATTAAAAATCTTCACAAGTATTTATTTGGGTTAAAAGTGCTTGAAAAAAGAGTTTAAAAAGAACTTAGTCTTCTTTGGGAAACTTGATTTCTGTATTTTCAGTTTTAAAATCGAACATCTTATTATGAACGATGTACTGTCTATGGAAGCAAAGATATTATTCTCTAAAAGGTTCAAATAGTGAAGCTCATCCGGGTACTATTAGTTAACGAGTAACTTCAAATAGTAATTTCTAATCTTCCTTTGATTATTAAAGGCATGATTAGGTTGGATAAATTGGGATTGCCTTATACCATAAATTAGTTCTTTATTGTGGTTTTACTGTGCTGGTTTCGGTTTTCCTATTTTCATGTTGTCTGTTTCTGTGGATATGTGGGGAATGGTTCTGTTTTGGTTTTTTTATTTGTTTATTTTCAGCATTATTGTGGGTGTTGTTGTGATGGTCTTGAGTTTTGATTGCACCCTTTATTTGTTGACGGTATGCTATTTGTTGCTCTCCTGCCTCCATGAGATGTTATGTGACATGGCAGTTCACGGGTAACTTTAAGAGCACGGTTGGGGATGGGGGCATGTTGCATTATCATTGTGCTAGTGTTCTATTGGTTTTGTCCTGCAGTTGTACTGTTTGGGCTTATGAAGCTTACATTTGCTGTTACTTGAAGCTTTTGCATCATCTTTGCATTCTATTTTTAGAGGTGGTTTTAGAAGTTTGGCTCTGTTGGGGCTTTTTTGGTGTCTTGTTGTTGGGTTGATTGCGATCTATGGCTTTTGTTTGGTTGGTACTTCTCCCAGGTTTTTGTCTTTCTGTGTTTCGTCTATTCTTTGGCGTTACTCTGATTACATGTGTTATTCTAGATGTGGCATGTGTTATCAGTTGTAGCTGAGTAGTTATGGTGGTAGGATCGAGCGACAATTGGGTTACCTAAGTGATGGTTGTTTGGTTTGGAACTTCATGAGCTCTAATTGCATGTCCATTTGGTTGTTTTTATTGTGGTGGATCGTTTTTATGGGCCTTTTGTCGACTGCTTCATATGGTAATGGTTACTGTGTGGTTTGGCTCGCATAACCATGGTCGGACCTTCTAGCTGATATGGTATACTGTCGTGGATGGATATGAATTGCTTTATTAACTGTTCCTCTTTTAATCTTTTATTTAGTATGGCTTATACTATGTGTAACTCGATGCTCTGTCTTAATAGTTGTATTTGTACCATCATGCGGCATAACATATTGCTTAACCTTTTACTTATCTACAATAAGAGTTATTTCTTCAGTAATATTTCCTTTTGTGTTAATTTTATTTGGGTTTTGATTATCAATTTCTTAAGTATCCTTGCAGCCTATTTTTACATGTTTTTGGAGACTAAAGCTCATTTTGTGTAGGTTCCTCTTCAGTTGGGAAAGATTGTGTCGAATGATGTTTC